GAATAAGTAGCCACATTTCAAGTGCTCAGTAGCCACATGGCTACTGTATTGTACAACACAATTCTGTACTTTTATTCCAGGATTTCTCAACTGAAACATATCAAAATGGGAGTGGGACAGAGGGCTGTGTAGTTCAGGAACCACTGCTCTAAGCTTTGGAACCGCAAGTGGTGTAGACATGCCCCTTGTAAGATGATAGAGGAGGCCAGACTGCTGAGACTTAATCTGTATATATTAGAGAAGTATTGTAAGTTTTAGATGCATTTTAAAACACCAGTCTGTGTTCAAGATAGTTTGTTACTACTAGTATTTTTTTTTAAAGGCACATTTGGACAGTATAAACCAACTCAGAGGGGCGCCTGGGTGGCTCAGTCTTTAAGTGTCTGCCTTCGGCTCAGGTCGTGATCCCAGGGTCCTGGGATCGAGCCCCACATCGGGCTCCCTGCACCGCGGGGAAGCCTGCTTCTCCCTCTCCTACTCCCCCTGCTTGTGTTCCCTCTCTCGCTGTGTCTCTCTCTGTCAAATAAATAAATAAAATCTTTAAAAAAATAAAAAAAATAAAAAACCAACTCAGAGTGATGTTAGCTGTGTTATTTAATCCATTGTTGATAAGATAGATAGGTGACTGATTTCAGAGAACTAATAAAATATGGTTTTCTCACTGAGAGCCAAATAAAATTTAAAACGAGCACTAATTGAATGTAAATAATTTACAGGCATTGCCTGCTTTTGTGAGATATCTCTTGACTTCTATTTCTGAGTCCCTTCCTTGGTGGCACTATTTGGTGACTTCTCAACCTAAATTATATAATTAACTGTGATGACCATTCTTGGAAGGTCATCTTAAAATTTCTCAAAGTGACTCAGAGAAATTATATCTTGGTTTTTGGGAAACATGTCTATGCACATTGTTTCATAGCCGTGTTCTCACTGTGTGTATTTTTTAAATTAAATTTCTTCATCTACCTTGAAGTAATGTTGTAACTACAAACCTATAATTTACTTTTAAGTTCTTCCTTCTGATAAACTTATCTATTCATATTGGGTCTAATTATAGCTCAGGGCGTAACCATGTGTATTATTCATCTGAATAAATGAGTTTGTCTGGCAACAAGGGGCTATTGTTGCCAAAGCTTTGTTGTCATCTGACTGTATTCTGTCTGTACCTCACTGTCAGCTTCAGGAAAGGTTAGGTCAAGAGGAACATGCAGCAGGAATGTTATACTCTGGCCCCTTGCTCTGCTTCTCAGTATATTTCAGCACTTTGCAATAAACTTGGCTATGATTTTTTTTTTTTACTTCATCCTTTTTAAATAAGAGAGATCAAAACTAGAGATAAAATTGAACTTTTCTTCGTTCCCTATCTTCAGAGCTATCCCATCACCCTGTTCCTCTTTTCTCCTGTTCCCTGCACAACCACTGTCATGAATTTAGGCCTATCTTTCCAGTTCATTTCTTCAAAGACTTTGACATAGATATGTATCCATAAACAATATAAAATACTATTTTATATTTCTAGTTTATATAATAAGATCACACTGTACATATGCTGTAAACTTGCTTTCCTCATATAGCATTTTAGTAGACTTTTGGGACATCATTGTTCTTAATGTGAAAACTTGGTACATATATAAGAACATATCTAACACATAAATAAGTTATGAGACCTATAGTAAAACAGGTAACTTCTGAATCCACCATATATACTGAAAAGTGGAACATCACCAGAACCATTGAAGCTCCTGTGTGCTACTCCTCCACCATCTGATTCTGCCCAGGAAACCACTCTTTTGAGCTTTGTTCTCATTCATTTTCTTGCTTATCATATATGTTTGTGTCCTCAACAATGTATTTTCTTGTTTGCTTGTTTTAAAACTTGGTGAAAATAGTATCATACTGTATATATTCCTTTAGACTTGCTTTTTTATTCAATATGACACTTTTAAGATTTATCCATGTTAATCAGTATGTTTTCACTGTTGTGTTGTATTCCTTTGGGTAAATTTATTCCTTTTTCTGTCAGTAGACATTTGTATTGTTTCCAATTTTCCTATTAAAAATAGTGCTTCCATGAACATTCTTGTATATGTTTTCTGGTGCACAGGTGTAAAAGTTTCTCTGGGGTATGTACCTAGGAGTGCAATTGAAATGTTGTAATATAGGAGTGTATAGATTCAGCTTAACTAAATAAGTCCACATTCTTATCCAAAGTGATTGAACACTCTTCAGCAATGTATAGTTCTTGTTTTTCCACATCCTCATCAGCACTTGGTTTTGTCACGCATTTGTCTTTGCCTATACATTGTGTAAAATAATATTGAACTGTAATTTTAAGTTTCATTTCCCTGATTTTAATGAGATTGGATATTTTTCATACGTCTTCTGGCCATTCATGTTTCTTCTTTCTGGAAATGCCTATTTATGTCTTTTCTAAGGGATTGCTAGTCTTTTTCTTATTGATTCATAGGAATTCGTATACTCTGGACACTAGAATTGTGTCAGTTTTATGTGATCCAAATATCTTTCCTGGTTTGTGGCTTGTCAGTCTCTTTAGGCAACCTCTAAAACTTCCGACTTTTGCATTGATGTGCTTAATCCATCTACAACAAAGGTTTGTATGTTTATTGAAGTAGAAATCCAGTTTCTCTATTTGCCATATACAAAAACTGTTTTCTTAGCCCCATTACTTCTGACATATATCAGATTCGTGTAAGTATGTGGAAAAGTTTGAGGGATTTCTTTGAGCTTCCAAACACATTTCAGAATCAAGTTGTCAAGTTTCATTTTTTACATAACTGTTAGACTTTTGAATGGAATTGCATTGGATCAGTTTGGGGAAAATTGACATCTGTAGGATGCTGGGTCTCCCTACTCATAAACTTGGTATCTCTCTCCATTTATTTAATTCTCTTTGTATTTCAATAAATTTTATAATTTCCTCCATTAAAATCTTATATATTTTTATGAAATTTATTCATAGGTTTTTTGTTATTTTTAATACTATAAAAATATTTTAAAATATATTTTCTAATTTTGTTGGTGTGTTGAAATGCAGTTGATTTTTTATGTTGATCTTAAATCTAACCACTTTGTAAACTCTTTTATTAAGTTTAATAAATTGTGTATAGATTTTTCTGTGTACATAAATTCTGCAAATGCTCACAGTTTTATTTTTTCCATCCCAATCTATACCTTTTGTTTTTTCCTTCCTTGTGTCTTTCATACCTTGATGAATATGATTGCTAGTGCACGAATGATTAGAAGTACATATAGTGGGCATCCTTATATTGTTCTTCAATTTTAAAGGGTGTGCTTTTGATATTTTGTCACTGAATATATTAGTTGCTGGTAGGTTTTTGGTAAATGCTGTTTATCAGGTTAAAGAAGTTTCCATCTATTCCAGTTTTGCTAAAAAAAAATTTTTTATCATGAATGGCTATTATTAAGCCTATTGAGTGCTTTTCCTGCACCCATTGAGATTATCCATTTTTTTCAACTTTAATCTCTTAGGTAGATTACATTAATACTTTTCTATTATTAAACTATCCTTGCATTCCCAGAATATATCCCAACTTAGTTAAGATGCATGCTTTTTTGATATACTGCTTAACAGTGAGGTTTTTGTAGATATAAACTAATTTCAAAATAAGAGTAGTAGCTAAATTTTTGTTGACAATAAAATCTTCCCCAAAGGGCTGCCCACTTTGCTATAGGGTATAAGGGTAATTTATGGCTATTAGATGCAGGTATTAGCTTGATGTAGCAAAAAAACACTGAAAAGCTAAATTATAATCTCATTTGCCCTTCTGTTCACTTGAGAGATTATAATTCAGTTGACTCATGTGGGCCTTATTTTCCTCAGTGAGTTTGTCTGAGGCTCAGAGACAGATGTTTACTACTAGTAGTCATGTGGCTTCACTTGCTTTCCTATTAATCCATCATCATCAAACAAACATGTACTTACTAGGCCCTAAGACAAAGCAAAAATCTGTTTCTCAGGGAACTTTTAGGGAGGGACAGAAAAGTAAACACTTTTTTTTTTTTTTAAAGATTTTATTTTTATTTATTTGAGAGAGAGAGAATGAGAGACAGAGAGCACAAGAGGGAAGAGGGCAGAGGGAGAAGCAGACCCCCTGCTGAGCAGGGAGCCCGATGTGGGACTCGATCCCGGGACTCCAGGATCATGACCTGAGCCGAAGGCAGTCGCTTAACCAACTGAGCCACCCAGGCGCCCAGAAAAGTAAACACTTTAAAAACAGTTATAGGGGATTCCTGGCCAGCTCAGTTGGTAGAGCATGTGATTCTTGATCTTGGGGTTGTGAGTTCAAGCCCCATATTGGGCAAAGATCTTACTCTAAAAAAAATTTTTAATTAAAAACATGGTTATAAAATGAAATAATACATCTTGTTTTCTATAGACCACACTATTTATGATACATGGGGGTTGAGGGGACAGAGATTCTTTGGCTGGAAAGAGAGAAAAGAGGAAGCTTGAGATGGGATATGATACTTGAGCTGAGTTTTATGAATGATGAGCATTTACTGATATCCATGAGCCTCATTTGTATTCTCAGTTGTTAACAAAGGAATTAGACTACTTTTTATTACACTTCTTTTCTCTAATGGCCCCTCTGTCTTCAAAAATTTGTCTCTTTCACCCTATGACTGTATCATCTTTTTCAGGATCTCACAAATAATTTCATGCTTTATTAAATATTTGTGCTCCTTCCTCTGGTCTTTGGTCCTAGGAATCTTTTGTTCAGTAGGTATAGAGTTGTGAATGGCAAGACAGAATCTTCCTTGTTCTGTTTTTTAAGTAATACCAACATCTTTTCTTTATGGAGTATTGATGATATTGACAAATGAATCATCATATAGAATTACCTGATTTGTTATGTTTTTGTGGAATTGCTCAATTTATTGTTACCATAAATAGAATTTTTTAAATTCCAGGGTTTACATAATCTCTAAGCACATTTCATTTGTATGTCTTATTTCAGTGCTGGACCCAAAGGAGACAACATTTATGAATGGAGGTCAACTATATTGGGACCCCCAGGATCTGTCTATGAAGGAGGGGTGTTCTTTCTTGACATTACCTTTTCACCAGACTATCCGTTTAAACCCCCTAAGGTCAGTATGAAGTGTTCATCCATTTTTAGCAATATGTATTGTTGTATATGTATATACATATACATATTCTTAAATATACATATCTAGGAATGCATGTCTATTCTGTTAACATAGACAACTTCCCAGGGCTAATTGTATGTAAAAGGAAACAGAATGTGAAAAATTATAGGCTATTTCCCTACCCCGTCCCCTTACTCATATTTCATTGCTTTTCCTCATCCTTTCTCAGTGTCTTTCTGTGGTTTATGTTGTAATGGAACATAAAACAGCACATTATGGGTGGAGCTAGGTGAGGGAGAATGGGCCTACGCCAGCCCTGCAACCCAGAAAACCAGACATAGCCTGAAGCTGGAGCCAGAGCCAAGCCCAGGAGCCAGACTAAATGCAGAGGGAGCCACCACTGAGGCAGGTCTCAGGGCACCAGCTATGGAGTGTTGATGCCTCCACAGTTCGGCTGTTCACATGAAGTATACATGCACTAGGAGGGAAAGTGTGACCTACAAAGACTTAAGAGTGATGCCAAGAACATTTAGTGAAAAAGTGTTTGTAAAAGTTGATTATAAATGACTAATTAATGAACCATAGGGGAATTTACACTTATTTAAGACAAGATTATATACTTTAAGAATTCTTCGCATTCCTTTCTACTGCCTGTAATTCAGTCATTTGATGAGTTTAAATTTATTCTCCACTTTGGAAGGGAAAAGACCCTAAGGACAGTGACTCTCTGCATTGGCCACCAAGAAAAAATTCTCATTTGGCCTGACTTTAACCTCGCAGTGCAGAGGGAAATAAAACTTGCTTGGGTTGTAGGTTGGAAGGGACAGTTTTAGAAAAGCAAAAATAGGACTATACCTTTAGCATGAATTTCTGTAAGTCCCCTCCCTCCCTCTTACCCTCCCTCTCTTTTGTCCCCCTCTCTTCCTTTCTTCCTTCCTTTCCATTGACGCTTGGATATTGTTTTGTTACGAAAGCAAAAGCAAAAACTATAATTTTACCAAAGAAGAAAGCAAGGCACGGAGAAACTAAGTAACTTTCCCAGCATTACACAGCAAGCAAATAGTAGTGTCAGTATTTGAACCCAGGAAGTCTGACTCCAAAGCCCCTGTTCCTTTCTACATTACATGGTACATTTTACCCAGGCTGACAGAGCTGTGGCACTGGTGATCACCCATACCTGCATTAAGTTGGTTTTCAGGGATGAAGCCATAGTACATCTAATACTTATTTTCTCCTTTCACTGGATGGGAACCTTTTGTCTTTCATTCTACTTGGGACCAGCCCATAAATCACCTGGAGTACTGACTGCACTGCTAGTGATGTGAGGACCTATCTCTGACAGCCTCTTCAGTAAAGGAAATACAGAGTGGGGAAGGGGAGGGACCATTCAGATCAGGCAGTTGGTGCTGCTTGTGAGTTTGGAGTAGGCTGCTCTGTACATCTGAAATACACATCTCAGAAAATGTGTGGGCTTATCCAAGTTCTGCATGACAGAAGTGTGTAGATTAAAACTAGAAGGGAGATCTAATAGATTAGATAGAATAACTCAGTTTCCAAAAAGGCTTCAGTGGACTGAAAGGATGGTCCAAAACAAGATGGAATTTAACATAGCTAACTGTGTTCAGTGACAATCAGAAAGAAATGATGATGCATGAAGGAGAAACCTACTTTATTTTCATATAAATAAAATTTGTGGGCTTTTGGCTGACTACAATTCTGTGGGAACTTAAGGTTCTTGAAGCCTTAAGGAGACATTTTTAGGAGTACAATCCTTGGAACTCTGAACCATTCACACTATATCTGGAGTGCCTCAGTCACCCCTAAGTTCTTCGTTTTGAGAACAAACAAGAATAAACTGGGGAGAGAGTCATCTACATTCTTGAACTTCTTCACTGGGTAAAACACTACAGTGGATATCAGTTGTGCCAACTCATTTCTTTTCTAAAACACCCTACTAAGGCTTGGGTTTTCCCTTTCACAGATGAGAAAACTTAAATGAGGCTTAGAGAGGTTTCCAATAATAGAGAACCAAGAATTTACTGATTTCCGACTTCACAGACCATGTACTTTCCACTGAATTATACACCGTTAACCTGGAGATGTTCGCTAGTAAGAATAGGACGTAGGAGGAATGTGATATCTGTCCTCGGATGTTTTAGGAACTATGGTGTGGGTTCGGATTTAAGCCTTATTTTGGATGGCTGGATGGAACAAAAATAGAAGTAGGAGGGTGTCAGTTACTGGGAAGTAGTTGTTAATTCTTATGAGGAAAATCTGACCCACAGAGGCATAGTCTGCTTTTGAATAGCTCTATGTATGAGACAGTGGGCTTCCTTTTACTCAGAGTAAATACTGGCCAATATTTCTGTTTAAAAAAAAAGCAGAATTAGTACCTGTCAGGAATAGTTCCAGAAAAAAATAAGTTCCTCCACTGAATGAATTTGAATAAACAATCTCTTAGGACAAAGGAAAAGTTTAACTTTGGTAACTCAAATCACAATTTAAACGCACATTTATTAGAAACCTGTGGGAAGTTTTTGAAAGCAAATAATCACCACCTAATTTATCAATTTTAGAAGCCAAATTTTGTAGGCAGATATGCTCTTCTAAGTGGGGGGAAAGTTTGTGAGTGTCTTGGAAGCTGTTAACTAAAACAAAGGCATTTTTTATTAATACTTTTGAGGTACCATGTCTGTGCCTTTCTAATCTCCTATTATTCTAAATAGGCTGCATTTAGAATTAATTGTCCTGTTTTTGTTTTGTTTTTTTCTCTGTTACCCTCGTCCTTTTCCTCAACCTTAGCCACATATTTTAATGAAACATTTCCCAGTGCTCTGAAGAATGAACCTGGATAGCAGTAGGTGTTAGAATTATTGGTGAGACCAGAGGTTCACAAATACATTTGATTGGCTATCTAATGGTTATCAGATATCCATACCATAAAATTAGTGTATAGCATAACGGGATCCATGAGATGACTTTTCCCAAACTCTTACACTTGGAATCCTTAGTGAGGATTTTAAATGCTGTCATGCTCAGATTAAATAATTTAACATATAAACCATTTCACCGCGTTTATCAGTTTAAAAATATCAATAAATAAACCTCTATGACTTAAAATGTGAAAAAAAATATGTAGTGCTCCAGTATATCACGTAAATGTCAGTGAAGTGATTTGGATGTCTCTTCAAGCCATAGGAACTTTTTGGGAATAGGACTTCATTAGTTTGAATATCCCACACTCCACTAGCTAATTTTTCATAATCAGATGAACTATTCCAATAATTTCTTCCAAAATTCATCTAAATTTTAATAAGGCAAGGAAAACAATTTTTAATTGAGTATGTAATGTTCACTAAATTTAGTATACTAGTTTTAAATAGGTCAAGTACTTGTTATACTTGCAAGTGCTATATCTTAGTACAATTCTTAGCACATTGATTTTCTTATATAATCAATATGTTTATGCCTCTTTTTACTAAATCTACAGGAGTTGTATTTGTATGACATTGTTAACTGTGTCTAAAGTATCTGATGCCAGGTCTTCAGGTGAATATTTAACCATCAATGATAATATTATTTCTCAGGGAAAATATTCATTTAATGAAATTGTCTAGGAGTAACATATTATGGCCAAAAAACAAAAGCATAATAGATTACTGGTATATCCCAAAGTTTTTTGATACTGTATTTCTTTCAGTGTTGATAGATATTTTAGTGTTCTAATTCAAATATCTATTTATTTGTAAAGTAGAAATTGCTTTATATCTTTTTGGGGATTACATATTCTTATTCATATTACAGATAATTACTCCTGTGCTCAAAACCTACACTTTTTTCTAAGTTTAATGTGTAAATATTTTAATGTTTTGGGTTTTTTTTAAGATTTATTTATTTGACAGAGGAAGACATAGCGAGAGAGGGAACACAAGCAGGTGGAGAGGGAGAAGCAGGCTTCCTGCTGAGCAGGGAGCCCTATGCGGGACTTAATCCCAGGACTCTGGGGCCACGACCTGATCCGAAGGCAGATGCTTAACGACTGAGCCACCCAGGCACCCCAATACTTTAATGTTTTTAACTCTACAAAATCTACATATTTGTGATAGAATAAAAAGTAATTGGAGATAAACAAAAAGGAAAATTTTTAATTACTTATAATCCTAACCCCAAAATTAATTATTCATGCCATTTTGTCTATCTCTTTGAGATTTTTTTTTTTAAGATTTTATTTATTTATCTGAGAGAGAGAATGAAAGAGAGCATGAGAGGGAGGAGGGTCAGAGGGAGAAGCAGACTCCCCACCAAGCAGGGAGCCTGATGCGGGACTAGATCCTGGGACTCCAGGATCATGACCTGAGCCAAAGGCAGTCACTTAACCAACTGAGCCACCCAGGTGCCCCTCTTTTGAGATTTTGTTCTCTGTGTTAAAATATACTGTATGCATACACACGAATAATATACATAAATACTGGGCCATATTCCCCCTGGTTTTAGAATTACTTTTTACCTAATATTCTATTTTCACCCAACACTACTCTTTATTTTCCAATAAACATATAACTGCATTAGAATTATTGAGGTTCCACAGTATTCCATTGTGTAAATATACCAAATTTAATTTCCTATTATTGGACATAACCTATTGCCAGTATTTTTGTTATCAGTGATGTGATGAACATCCTTTTAATTACATATTTTGTATACTTGCATAATTATTTCCTGAGGCTAAATGTGTTGACATGGAACTTCTGAGTAGATGGGTTTATACATACTTGTAGAGTGTTGTTAAAGGTTGACAAGTTGCCCTCCAGAAAAATTTATCAGTTGACATCATGGCCATCAACATAGTGATAATACAGTACTTCCCTTCACTCTGCTCAGCTCTGAGGATTCTAGTCCTTTTTAATCTTTGCCAACCCAGTAGATGAAAAGTAATATTTCATGGTTGCTTTAATTTATATTTATATGACTACCAACGAGATGTGGAAGTTTTCACATAT